CCTCTCTGCTCCTATGATGCTGCTTGGCCTGCTGTGTTCATCCAGCCCTGCACCTTGTTGTCATTGAGTTCAGGTGGATTTAGAGATGGGCACCAAATGCAATAGTAAAACATCATGTGGTAGAGTTCCCATTTCACATTTGGTCATTGCTACAAATCATGCCCTTTTTTTCCAAGTATTCTGTCTTGTGCACCCAAAATTTAAAAAGTGCTTGTTCATATTTGAGTAATAATTTATTTGATTTGATTAACACAGCTGAGTGTAGCATTTTAAATTAGTGTCAATTAAGCTGATTTTTAAACTATTGAAAATGACATAAATATGTTAATTGATTTGGAAAACATTAAGTTCTTCAATATTGTAAAAGAGAATTCAATGTATACATGTCCCATCAAAAGGACTGATCTTCATTTTTATATCCTCACCAAATGCATGTAATTAGTGGGGCTCCCAATAATTAATTAACCTGGGAGCTTGTGGACATTGCAGTTTGTGTGTTTGTCGACACTGGGACACTGAGTTAATTTAAGGAGAGAGGCAGATTTTTAGTTAATGTTGTGTTAAAGGGTTATGGGAAGCCGGCAGGAATATATTTTAGCATCTGTACATTTGCTCCATTCAGGTTTTACTGTTTGTTTGCTTATTCTCCATTTTGCTTTCTGTTTCAGTCTCTGATCAATTCCTACAGCTGGAATGCTTCATTTTGCCTCCTGGTGTTTGAGTCACCATGATTGTGTGGCCTTCGTGTTCTCCCTAAGGGTAGCATACCAGTGTAGCAACCTTTTTGTTGTAATTTCCTTCGGCAGTTATACCTTGCTGTCAAGGAATAGGGAGGAAGATGACTTTTGTACTTTTCTTGAAAGTCTTAGTAGCTATAATACGGTTTTTGTTTTACTATAATCTTTCCCAAGTTACCACGACAAATTGCAGTACTTAAACTATAGGTCTCAACTTTGCAGTGTCTGCAGAATGTGGTTGTGTAAAGTAGGCATTGGGCCCCCTAGCATTTCAACCAAAGGCAACACATTTTTGAGGAACAAGCTGCAGATTCAAAGTGAGTGTCACATTTTGCTTCTGAACCAGTGACAAAATAATCCCAGGTAGTTTTTTGCACTTTGTACTGGAAAACACCATCTAATCAAGAGTCATTTAGTCCTAATGTAAATAATTGCTGGGCAGAATGCTTACTCAGAGTTAGAGGTGACTCCGATTGCATTAATGACCAAAATATAGATTTAAAGCTTCATTTCATAATTCTGATAGTTCGACTAATCGGGACCTTTTCATAGGTAATAGGAGGAACCAGAGATGAAGAGGTTACCAACATGTTTAGTTTTTACTTGGATCTCCGTTTTGATTGCTTAGCTGGCAAAAAGGAACAGAGCTGTTTTGTCAGCTGCTGTGTAGCTTTGACACTCCAATCTATGATTCTTCCCAAAACTTTTTTTGGGGGTTGGGTTAAGTAATTGAGTAATCTTTGGCCAGAAAGTCTTTAGCCATTGTGTCTGTTCATTCTGTTTATTAGAACAATTGAAAATAATTTCAACTATCCTGCCATCTTCAGAGTCCTCTTGTCCTTATTTTTGTTTTCCCTATTGAAATGCAAAGCTGTTGAAAATTCTGATCCTCCCAACTCCTCAGTTTGTTCTAATTCTCATTTGCTTATTTTACCTGACTAGCTGTTACTAAATATTTCTAATCAACTTACTCAGATATGTATGATTCTTATCTGGAACTAGATGGGACTTGATCCGAGGCCTCCTAGTCTAGTAGACAATTTTTGTTTCCTCCACCATCAAAGTACCAGTGTTTCTGGATCAATTACGTGCAAAGGCCATCAGGGGCAGTAGAACAACAACAAAAGTGAGGGTAAGGGAGGGGAGAGTTGAGTAGCCAGAGGAAGTGGTAGAGGCAGGTACAAATGCCAAATTTAAAAGACATTTGTACAGATATATTGATAGGAAAGGTTTGAGGGATATGGACGAAGTGCCGGTAAAAGTTGTTTGGGATATCTGGTTGGCATGGGCAAATTAGACCGAAGGGTCTGTTTCTGTGGTGTACGAATCTGACTCTATAAATAATTCCTGTGAGTCTAGTCTTTTCCCACAATTAATTTACTATCTCTGTTGAATTAGTAACCATTGGCTTGAGCCTTCTTAAAAAGCAGGTATTGCGGGACCTGCTATTACATGGACATTCATCATACTACACTACCATTTTGATGGCTTGGAGGTATTGAGTATCAGTGTTACTTCCTTTAGTAAATGGCACTGAACCTTTAAAAGTGTTCTTGTCTTCTGACCGCTGGATGACTTGTATATGTTTTACTTATTAAGGAATGCAGAATTCCTTAATGTATTGCCATATCAACATTGACATTTTCTAACAATAATCCCAACATATGTAAATTACTTTACTCCATATTAATAAACAAGTGATGAGCATATTGTTATTGAGTTTCAGGCAAACATAGCATCCCATAAAAATGTAATTGTTCACTGGAATCTTCTTGTTTTGTATAACATTCCGTTTACAGGTCCAATTGACAGATTTTGAGAATTCTGCATATGTGGTCTTTGTTGTGCTGTTAACCAGAGTGATCCTTTCATACAAGTTGGATTTTCTTATTCCACTCTCAAAAGTAAGTAGTCCTTCCATAATATATTGGTCTATAAAATATATTAGTCTTATGTTTGGCTACAAATGTAGTTATGAATGAAATAGACATTTGTCAGACTTATCAGTTTGCGGCTAGCATGATTATTACATGGGGGGAAAAAAAAGCATGGTTATTCAATACAGTTAGGGAGTCTTTTGTTATATCACCTATGCAATGACAAAATTGGACAATAACATACATGTCGCATGTCCTAAGCATTTTACATGTAGCATTGTCTTTGTGGAGGGTTGAATTTTCCTTTGCTATTATAATAAGTAATAAACATGTATCTACAACCGTTTTGCCAGTTTGCAATGTAAAATCAGATTGTCTGTCTGTCTGTCTGTCTGTCTGTTAAACATTGTTAGAATTTGCAGCTTAATTGATGGTTGCATTTATTTTATTTAACTCACCACCTACAAAGAATTTGTGGTACATGTTTTAATAACCTCATTTATTACATACCAGCTGAATGGAGTATTGCTGTCCACTCACTATTGGAGAATTCAGTGATTCAGCTTCCACTGTTTTCTGGGAAAGATAATTTCACAGCCTAACAACCCTCCACAAACACATTCATCTCCATCTTTTAGAACCTCTTATTTTAAAAATCTGATTTCCCCATCAGAGAAAACAACTTCATGATATCTCCTTCCTGTCAAGTCCCCTTAACCTTGTATGTTGAAATAAGTTCATCAGTAACAACTCTGAGACAAGCAACCTATCCATGGCTGGAATGTGAGCACTCATCTGTGTGTTACATAAATATGCCCAATCAAAGATTGTAAAAGGCATATTGAGTAAAGTTTTCTTTGAAGCGTTACTGTGGTCAGTTTCAAGAACATTGTATTATAAAGGATTCAGAAAAACATGATGTTGATGATTCTTAATGTAATTTGGAGATAAGAGTTGAAGGAGACATGAATGACATTTTTAGAATGCTTGAGAGACATCAATCATATTGAGGAAGTGATTTTAATTTGAACTCTGAACTAGAGCTGAGGTGAAGAGTTCGCAATTAATGAGTCTCAAAGTTGGAGACCAAATCAACTTGAGTACTGGAATTGGCAATACTGAAAATGATTTGTTTTAAAGTTCATTGTAGGGCCAGTTTCTTCAGAACCAGATTGATTGCTGACAAAATTATAGATCAAATACTGCTGAAAGTTTTCATGAAAATTGTACATTTTAAAAGGAAAATAGTTAGGATTAACTTGGGTAAATTGGTTAAATTTTCTTCTCATGCCAAAGATAATGGAAAAAATTTTGGAACTTTCAGAAGCTGAAGGCCTCTGGGCAGCTTTTATCACCCACATTCAGTTGTTCTAATCCAAATCCTATCATAATTCCATTATAATCTTTGGGAATGCAGCCTCCTTGTTGTATTGTTTAAATCTGAACTTTCTCAGAAAAATGTATTTTTTGGTGAGTTTTTCAACTCCAAAATACTAGTTATATCCGTGAATGTAAACTTTGGGCTCCGCTTAGTAATTCAAAATTCTGAATGGCTGAATCTGTGTTCACACTGTGCAGAATTGTGGAGGTTGGTCAGGGTGCATTGGATTACTTAAGCCTAGAGGTGATAGATGTATTAGTATGTTTCAGCAACAGATGAAATGAGGCATTGGTGATATTGGGTGTTGGTACAGAATGGAAATAGATGATTTTAAGTGGGATATGTGGTATGATGATTTCACCATTAAGTGGTTTCCAGAGAGACAAATGGAGTTAAGAACAGGAGAGAGGAATTTGTGATTGGGGCTAAAAATTATGGCTTCTATTTTTCCAGTATTTAAGGGGCATTTTAGAGACTTCTAGATAAGCACATAAGTATGCAAGGAATGGAGGAATATGGACCAAGGGCAGGCAGAAGGGATTAGTTTGAGTTGGTGTCATGTTCAGCGCAACATCCTGGTCCAAAGGGCCTGTTCCTGTGTTGTATTATTCTATGTTCTATTTAGTTAAACAATAAGGCATAGCAACAGAATTAGGCCATTCGACCCTTCGATCACGGTGGATATGTTTCTCAACTCCCTTCTCCTCATAGCCAATGATCCCCTTACTAATCAAGAACCTCTCTATCCCCGTCTTAAATATACTCAATGTCTTGGCCGCCTCAGTCTTCTGCAGCAATGAGTTTTACAGATTCACCACCCTGTGACTGAAGAAATTCCTCCTCATTTCAGTTCTTAAAGGGTCGTCCGTTCACTGTGAGGCTGTGCGCTTGGGTCCTAGCCCCTTGTACTTTAGTAGTCCACCCTATCTACGCCTCTGTTTGCTTTTAAGTTTCAAATAGATGCCCCCCCCCCAGCTATCCTTCTAAACTCCATTGAGTACAGACCCAGAGTCCTCAACCGCTCCTCATGTAACAAGTGCTTCGTTCCTGGGATCATTCTTGTAAACCTCCTCTATTGCCAGCAAATCCTTCCTTGAATACTGTGCCCAAAACTGTTCTCAATATTCTTCATGCAGTCTGACCAGAGCGTTTTTATACAGCCTCAGCAGTACATTTTTGCTTCTGTTTGCTCCTGTATTTTATCCCACTTGAAATGAATGCTGACATTGCATTTGCTTTCCTAACTGCTGGCTGAACTCCTTCCAAGTCCCTGTGTTTCAGATTTCTGAAGCCTTTCCCTATTTTATAAAATGGTCTCTGTCCCTATTCTTCCTACCAAAGTGCATAAACTCACACTTTCCCTCATTGGGCAGATGGAATTCAGTATAACAACCTGTCCAATTCCTGCTGCAGCACCACCTATCGTTTTGTCATCTGCAAACTTAACAATACCCTCAATTCCTTTGTCCAGATTGTTAATGTATAACATGTACAGATGTGCTCCCAACACAGACTCTTGCAGAACTCCACTGGCTGTCATCCTATAAAAGACCATTTTATCCCTACTTTCTTCCTTCTGCCAGTCAGCTAATCTTCTATCCATGCGTTTATGTTGCCACCACATCATGGATTCTTATCTTATGTAGCAGCCTCCTGTGTAGCACCTTGTCAAAGGCCTTCTGGAAATCCAAATAGATCACATGCACTAGCTCTCCTTTGAGGAGCTAATAAGCAAGTTAGACAGATTTGTCAGGCAAGATGTCCCCTTGACAAAGTCTTGCAGACTCGGCTGTACCTTTCCCCCCCCACTCCCGTCTCTTTATTTCCCAGCTTCCTTTCCCCAGGGTCCCAACTCAAAACATCCACTTTTCTGCTGCTCTGATGCTGCTGGCCTGCTGTGATCCTCCAGCTCTACGTTGTGTTGTCCCTAGTTTACCATGCATTTCCAAGTACACTTGTCCTTAATAATGGACTGTAAAATCTTACCAATGACAGAGGTTGGAGTAATTGGCCTGTAGTTTCTTGTCTTCTGCCTCCCTTCTTCCTTTTAAGGGAAATTTCTGCTCATTCAGAAATGAATGTCAAGTCTGACAATTTAAAAAGTGAAGATCTGAAGAGAGGTAGAGGTGAAGAAAAACTGGGTCTTGTCATCGTGCATTTTCAGATGATGCCTCCAAGGGACGACATCTATAGTAGAAATAGAAGAAGGTCAAGCACAGTAGGGAACTCATTTCAGAAGGTTATCTGACTGCAGCTTGATGGATAATTGGGTGCAAGTGCAGTAGAGATGTTGGAGTAAAACTTCCTGATTATTTTGTCAAAGACAATAGGCAAGTCGAGAAAGATGGAGTTTTGACCAATGTCGTCACTAGGATTCATCTGAGACTTGAAGAGCTGATTTCTTTCAGCTGAGAGATTGTAACCTGAAGTTTCTAGAAAGAAAGGCACAGATTTTGCAAATGCTCAATGACTCTGAAGCAGAAAAGGAGGTTGGATTTGGGACGGAAGTTTGCAAAGACGGAGTCCTAGAGCTGTGGACCATAGAAGTGGACCCCTCGGTCCAACTCGCCCATGCCAATCAGATATTCTAAATTAATTTGTTCCATTTGCCAGCATTCAGCCCATATCCCTCAACCCTTCCTATTCATATATCCATTCAGATGCCTTTCAAATGGTGTAATTGTACCAGCCTCCATCATTTCCTCTGGCAGCTCATTCTATAAATGCACCACGCTCTGTGTAAACATTGCCCCTTAGGTCCCTTTTGAATCTTTCCCCTCTCACCTTAAACCTACACCCTCTAGTTTTGGATCCCCACCCCGGGGAAAAGACCTTTTGACTATTCGCCCTATCCATGTCCCTCATGATTTTATAAACCTCTGCCTCTGGCAGTTCAGGAAAATAGCCCCAACTTATTCAGCCCCTCCCCATAGCTCAAACCGTCCAACCCTGGCAACATCCTTCCTATAGCAGGGAGACCAGAATTGCAGAGGGTCATGAGTTGTTTGTTTGAGAGGGGAACAGTACCTAAGGGGAGAAAATTGTTGCTAATATGACCTATCAGGGAGCCAGGTAGGAAAGTTGGGTCATCAGTTCAGTTGAAACAGGGTCAGAAATGGCACAAGTGGTGGATTTATTTGACAGAAAGAAGTAATGGGGAAAATGGGAAGAAAGTAGAGCATTCAGCGTCAAGACTGGAGCCTTAAGGTTTGCCATGTTGAGTGAATGAAGGGGACAAAAACAGTAATAGAGGCAGCTGAATGGATGATCTTGATCTTAGCAAATGGTTGATGAGCTCCTAGAGGTGAAAAGGGCAGGGAAGAGTTGTCATTTATTTCCCTTGACTGAGGAGCATGTTTTTGAAGATTATTCTTTTTGTAATATTCACTGCATATCTAAATGGGCATCTTAGTATTTTCGCCAACTTTGTTATAAATTGTTGGAACAGAGAAGGATGTCTTGCTGTTCAGTCATCTATGGTGTTTTCTGCCAGACAAGTGATTGAAACAGGGGGAAAACATTCATGGACTTGCACTATGTTACCTAGCTCTATCCTTTTTTGAACTCCTCATCTACTTTTAAACAGGACAGGTGGCCAATGCAAACATTGGATTTATCCGAGTAACACAAGTGTCTTCTCTCCATTCGATGTCTTTTTATTCCTTGGTAATTTTGTTTTTAATTTTGTAGTTTTGATTAGTTGAACGTTCTTCTCTTAAATAATAACGTTGAACAAAACTTTAGTTTTTACCCTGCACAGGGATACTGAGATCCTTGTTATCACGCACTGTGGATTAAACCTGGGTTGATCTTACAGTTGATCACCTGCTTCTTCAATCAGAATGAGAGGGGTTGTTATTTCACTTCTGCTTATGAAAGTCTTCCCACCCTATTCTTTGTAAGAGTCTGTTGCTTGTGTGGCTCATTAAGTTGTTTCTGTTCAGTGGTAACCCCCCAGGATGTTGATATTGATGGATTCAGTGATGGTAATCCCATTGAATGCCAAGAGATGATGGTTAGCTTCTCTCTTATTGGAGATGGTCAGAAATTGGCTGGTGCATTGTGTGTTGTGGATTTAACTTGTTACTTATCACCCCATGCCTGGATATTATCCAGGTCTTCTGAATTTAGACATGGACTGCTTTAGCATCTGCGCAGTCACAATGATGCCGAACATTATGCAATCATTAAGTGTCTTCACTTTGGACCTTATGATGGAGGGGACATCATTGAAGCAGCTATGAATGATTGAGGTAGGACACCACCCTGAGCAGCTCTGCAGAGATGTCCTGGGGCTGAAATGATTGATCCCAACAATAACATCCTCCTTCCTTTTGTACTAGGTATGACTCCAATCAGTGTAAAATTACTCTTCATTTCCACTGATTTTGGTTTTGCTGGGATTCCTTATGACAATACACATTGAATATGACTTTGAAGGGGCAGTTTTGAGGAAGGCTTTTGGTGTCAGTGAGCAGTTTATTCCTGTGCGAGTGCCACTTGATAACATTGATCCTCTCCCATCTCTTTTTATTTTGATCGAGTAGACTGACAGGGCAGTAATTGACAAGGTTGACTTTGTCCTTTTTTTGTGTATGTGACATTGGGCGATTTTCCAGATTGTCAAGTAGATGCTGGTGTTGTGGCTAAAATGGAGCAGTTTGGCTCAGATGTGCTAAGTTTTGGACCACCAATTTCAGTACAATTGCTAGAATGTTCTCAGAGTCTCTGGTTTTTGTAGTAGTCTTCCACTATTTCTGGAGTGAATTGACTTGGTTGAAGAGTGCCATCTGTGAGGCTGGCACCTTCCCCAAGGAGGCAGAGATGGATAATCCATTCGGAACGTTTGGCTGAAGATGCATGCAAATCCTTTGTCTCTGTATTCTGTGCTGATGTGCTGGGTACCCCTATAATTAAAGGTGGAGCTATTTATTGGTTGTAGGATTACTTAACCCTACTTATTGCATTCTATTTCCACTGTTTTGACCTGTCATTGGGTTATACTTCCTTGTTTAGATATGCTTAGTGCTGCTCTTGACATGCCCTCCTGCTACAGTCTTTTATGAACAAGGATTGATCTCGCAGCTCTAATGGTAGCGTTGGGGATATGATGGGCCTTGAGATGATCAATTGTGTACTTGAATACAATTCCACTGCAACTGATGGGCTACAACACCCTGTTTTGAGTTGCTAGATCTGTCCCAAGTCTGTCCCATTTATCAATGTGGTAGTCCCACGCAACACAATAGATGGTACTGTCTTTGTCTATACATTATTAAAATGTCATGAACAGATTCTGAAAATGAAATATCGAATATAATGCTGATCTTTATTTATGAAAGAATTAGAAAAGGTTAGATGTCAATAAAGCAATTCAAAGGCCTGTTTAGACCATATCTAGTGCAATGGTTCCACCTGGATATTGTACCTTTAGGAGGGATCTCCTGGCTTGGAAGGAGACAGCACAGATTTATTAGAATAATACCAGAACTCCAAAGCTTAAATTTGAGGAGAGATAACATGATCTGAATCATGAACAAAAATGCTGGAAATACTGAGTAGAATTTCTGGAAAGGAAACAAATTAATGTTTCAGGTCAACACATGAGCATTTTATGTTTTGATTTTTAGATGTCAGCCATTGCAGTATTTTTGCTTTAACACAACTTCTAGGTGCCATCCTTGGAGTTTAACTTAAGTGATTTGATTGTATTTTCATGATATTAGGAGGAACCGCTGTATGAGATCTAATTCTTGTGGGGACTTCATTTAAAATGAAGCCATACTTTTCAGGAGGAAATATAAGAAACATTTATGTTAAGTGTGGTAAACATTTGGAACATTACCATTTGCTGCTAGGCAAAAAGAGTCCATTGTTAATTTTCAAAGTGGACATATGGAGTTGGATTAGAGATCTGTATGATCTGATTGAACAATGGAAGAAGCTTGCAAAGCTAAATGTTCCAAATGACCTAAATCAATGATATAAGGAGCATTGCCGCAAATAAAAATTCAAATGCGGTGATAGCCAGCATTTTCTCATGCAGACACAAAACAAAGCACTGTGGAGGTTGGAAATACTTCCCAACTCTGGCAGCCTCTGAGAAAGTGTAACATTTCTGGTCTCTGACCTTTTCAGGTTGCGGGCCTCTTTTGTAATGCAGGCTTCCAAGTGGCCAGCAGGGTCAAGAATATTGAGAGATCCTTATTGCAATTGTCTCCTCCTAATCATGTAATACATAAGTGTCATTTAATCGAAAAACGCAAGTGTAATACATCACTGTGTGGATAATACAGTATAGTTTTCATCTTAGAACATAAGAACTGGGAACAGGAATAGGCATTTCAGCTCTTTGAGCCTGCTGCACAATTTTAATACAATCATGGCTGATTTGATCTTGGCTTCAACTCCACTTTCCTGTCTGGCTTCAATCTCGTGAGCCTCCTCTGCCTGTAAAGCTGTCCTCAAGGGCACCAAAATTATAACACCTTGTACATTTGCAGCAACACTTCCCAACTTTTGTATTATTTCCTTTAGCAATAAATACCAAAATTCCATTTTCAGTTCATTTATTACTGCCTGGACTTGCATGCTAGTTTTCTACGATGCATGTACAAAGCCACCAAAGCACCCTTGAGCTTCTCTCCAGCTACCTAATTTGTTTTTCTATTCCTGTAATCAAAATGGATAACCTTGCACTTGTCCATGTTTAAAATGCAAATAGAGTAGTTATAACTCTGTCAGAGTTCCTTGGCAGCCATTGCTGGCTCTCGGCTCGCAACTCCACTTGAGATCCTGAACCCCCACTTTGGGAAGCCCTGCTATCCAGAGCTGTGTATGAGGTTCATTGTGTAGAATAAAAGTATTTGAAAATTATGTCCTTGCACTTATAAACAGTCAAAACTAGTGATTAATTTGATCATGGGTGTGGCCAGTTTTGTGGCTGGTATTGAGCTGGTATTAACTGTTTAAATTAGATGTACAATAATACAGAAACTCTTTGCTCTTAAAATTTTGCAAAGTTTTGGCCAGTTCCTAGGAAGCAGTGCTGGAAAATCAACAGTACTATATAACTGAGACTCCAAGACAATATTTTGAATTGGTGACCAAAATTTTTATGCTGCTATGTTCTGTTCAACAAAGTGTTTTGTGGGAGATGCAACAAAAATGTCAGCATTCAGCAAAACTGTTTATTATTTCTGGGCCAGCTAATTTGCTGTAAATGGTTGTTAAGTTTTATTGGTTTTGTCTTGTGAAACTGAAGCTTTTGCATCCCTTTTTTAGTCCTGTCCACCATTCTTGCATGTTTGTTTTTGTTCATCTATGTGAAGTTACTGGTGTGGTGAAGATACAGTTGCAGGTGTGGGACTTTAAGAGATGCCTACGATTTTAAAAGTTGCTTGATATTTTGAATTGGGCTGCGTTCAACTAAGTTAGAACACTTCAAAATCATAATTTGCTTTAAACTGGTAACTAAATTGTAAAATCTAACAAACAATTTTATTGGCCTAGGTGGATGAAAACTTGATTGTGGCTCAAAAGCGTGATGCTGTACGCCAAGGGATGTTCTACTTCAGGAAAGATATTTACAAAGGTAAGAGTTAGGAATCTTGTCAGTAGTCTAATACTTTGTAGAAGTCACCTGAATTATTTTGTTTAAAGTCTAACTTATTGGAATGTACAATCTAAAAGTAAGTTAAGCATGCTATGAAAGTCAGATTTCTATCTCTCAAATAGAAGGGAAGTACTGTGGATGCTGGAAATTTTTTTTTCCTTTATTCTTTAACGGGATGAGGATGTCGCTGGCCTGGCAGCATTATCGTCCATCCCTAATTGCCCAGAGGGCAATTCAGAGTTGACACGTTGCTGAGAGTCTGGAGTCACTAGGCCAGACAAGGTAAGGATGGCAGCTTCCTTCTCTAAAAGACATTCAGGAACGATATAGGTTTTTCCAACAATCGACAATAGATTCATGGTCATCATTAGACTCTTAATTCCAGATACTTTATTAAATTCAAATTCTACCATCTGCTGTGGTGGGATTCGAACCCGAGTCCCCAGAATGTTATTTGGGTCTCTGGATTAATGGTCCAGTGATAATACCACTAGGCCATTGTCGCCTCTTATCTGACGTCGGAAAGAAACACAATGCTCTAGAAACTTAGCAGGTCTAGCAGCATCTGTGGAGAAAGAAACAGTGTTTTGAATCCAGTATGATGATTCTTCAGAATGGAGTTAGAATTCTGTTAGTTTATCTCATACGTTTATTGGCTAAAATGGAAGGCAGCACATCATTAAGCCTGGTAAAAATCTCACCTGTGATTCTCATTATTGTTTTTACTGTCTTATGAGATGGTGCCATACATCTATACCATTAGAGAAAATGTTATTATAAAATTCCATCTTTTATCTTGTCTGAAATGCCTCGTTATGAATTGATTACACAAGGAAAAAAAACTTGTACTGAGTTTATGGAAGTAAAGCAAACAAGATTTGAGAAGTTGAATGTCCTGAGAGTTAACCTGACTGACTTACTGTATAATTCATAATATCTCCATTACACTTAATTTGTGCAATGTTTGGGGTTCTAAGGAAAAGCATTACAAGTAAATCGAGAATCTAAAACATGGAACTATGTTGCTGCCTGCTTAATTGATACACTATTTTACTTCCTTCAGTTTTAACAATGCTTGAACTTGTGTTGAAATCTGCTATAAGGCCATATTTATGTTTCAGTTAAGGTTAATTGAGAATGTACTTTCTTAATTTTATGTCTTTGTCACCCTAGCTGGAAACCCAGTTGTCGATGGCTGTGCTTGTACACAAAATGGGATCGATTTGGATTCGGAAGAATATGCATTAATGAGCATAGACACAATTATTAATGGAAAGGTGGGTATAAATGCTCCTTATTAGTCAGTGATGATTTGCAGAAATGTTGCCATTGAGAATGTAATTTGAAACTAGCTTTACACTCCAGAACCCAGACTGGTTGGGCCTAGCTTTGTTATATTTTTGTAAACAAGGGCAATTGGTTGATTTCTCCACTCTGTCAATCTTCTCTCACCTATTTGGTAAGTGATGAGGCTCTAATTTGTCCATGGTTCTTACTTCATACTACTTATATGTGAAAGTTTGTTTTTTTAATTATTAACTTGTGGGATATGGTTGTTGCTGGCTGGGCCAGCATTTATTGTCCTCTCTAGTTTTCCTTGAGAAAGTGGTGATAATGTGCCTTCTTGAACCACAGCAGTCCATATGTTGTAGGTAGAACCAAGATGCCTTTGGAAGGGAGTTCCAGGATTTTGAAACAGTGACTGGAGGAACAGCAGTATGTTTTCAGGTCAGGTTGGTGAGCACCTTTTGAGGGGAATTTGCAGGTGGTGATGTTCCCATGTATTTGATGCCATTGTCCTTCAAGCTGGAAGTGGTCATGGTTCTGGAAGATCTTGTCCAAGCATCTCTGGTGATTTTTTGCAGTGCAACTTGTATTGTATGCAGCGCTGCTACTGAAAGTCCATGGTGGAGTGACGCACACCACATCCACAAACAATCAAGCTGCATTGGCCTGGATGGTGTTGCACTTTTCTTGAGTGATGTTGGAGCTACACTCTGCTAGATAAGTGGGAGTATTCCATCACACTCCTAACCTGTTCCTTGTAGATGGTAGATAAACTTTGGGGGAGTCAGAAGGTGAGTTAATCACTAAGGTTCCTAGCCTCTGACCTGCCCCTGTGACCACTGTTTATATAGCAAGTCCAGTTCAGTTCCTGGTCAGTGGTAACTGCTAGGATGTTGTTCAGTGTTGGATTCAGTGATGATAATGCCAGTGAGTGTCAAGGGGCAGTGATTAGATTATCTCTTATTGGAGCTGGTCGTTGCAACTTTTCAAGCCTAGCTATTATCCATGTCTTGTTGCATTTAGACACAGACTGCTTCAGAATCTGAGGAGTCTCAAATGGTGCTGAACATTTTGCAATCATTGAATATCCCCACTTCCAACCTTGTAATGGAGTGGTCACTGGTGAAGCGCCTGAAGATGGTTAGGCCTAGTACACTACTCTGAGGATCTCCTGCAGATATGTCCGGGAGCTGAGCTGACAGACTTCCAATGACCACACCATCTTCCAATGTGCCAGGTATGACTCCAGTCAGCAAAGAGTTGTTGCCCGATTCCCATTGGCTTCAGTTTTGCTTGGGCTCCTTGCTGCCACACTAGATCAAATGCACCCTTGATGTCAAGATCTGTCACTTGGGTCACGTCTAGAATCTAACTCTCTTGTCCACGTTTGAACCAGGGCTGTGATTAGGTCAGGAACTGAGTGGCCCTGGTAGAACCCAAACAAGTATCAGTGAGCAGCTACCTTCTGTTTAAAGATACCTTCTATCACAGAGAGTAGATGGGGCAGTAATTGGCTGGGTTGGATTTGTCCTGCTTTTTGTGTACAAGATAGACCTGGACAATTTTCTACAATTTTAGGTAGATGTCAGTCTTCTAACTGTACTGAAACCGCTCAGCTAGGGGTGTACAGGTTTTGGAGCACAAGTCTTCTGTACTATTACAGAATATTGTCAAAGCTTATAGCCTTTGAAGTATCTAATCCCTCCGTCTGTTTCTTGATACCACATGAAGTGAAAGGAATTGGTGGAAGATGGGCATGTGAGATGCTGGGGACCTCCTGGAGGAGGCTGAAATGAATCATTCACTTAACACTTCTGGCTGAAAATTCGCTACTTGTCTTTTGCATTTACGTGTTGGGTTCTCCCATGATTGAGGATAGAGATATTTGTGGATTCCCCCCCTCCTCCAATGAGTTGTTTGACTGTCCACCACCATTCAAGACTGGATGTAGCAGGACTGCAAAGTTTTTAGATCTGGTCTGTCAGTTGTGGGATTGCTTAGTCCTGTTTATCACCTATACTTCTGCTGTTTTGGCATGCAAGTAGACCTGTTTTGTAGCTTTTTTTTTTGGTATGCCTGGCATGCCCTCCTGCACTCTTCTTTGAACCAGGGTTGATTCCCTGGCTTGATGGTAATGGTAGAGTTGAAGATATGCTGGCTCATGGGGTTGGAGTACGTTTCTTGCTACCGATGAGCCACGGTGCCTCGGAGGCACAGCTTTGAGTTGCTAGATCTGTATGAAGTCTGTCCCATTCAGCATAGTAATTGTGCCACACAACACATTGTAAGGTATTATTAGTATGACGGCAGAACTTTGTGTTCACAAGGACTGTGCGGTCATCAGTCTTGATGTTGCTGTCATGGGCAGATGCATCTGCAGCAGGCAGATTAGTGAGGATGCGGTCAAGAATGTTTTTCCCTCTTGTTGGTTCCCTCCCCTTCAGACCCAGTCAAGCAGCTTGTTCTTTCGGACCCAGCCACCCTGATCAGTAGTGCTGCTGCTGCTGCTGAGCCCCTCTTGAGAGTGGACATTGAAATCTCCCACATTCAGTGTACGTTCTGCGCCCTTGCCACGCTCATTGCTCCTCGACCATTGAACAACACTCGGAGGAAGCACGGTGAGACCAGCTGAAGGAGGATGTTACAAGACAGTTCCTTCCCCATGTCTCTCCTAATGGCCCAAGACTTCAAGGAGTCAATGTTAAGGATTTCCCAGGGCAACTGCCTCTTGACGGTTTGCCACTGTCCCACCTTCTCTACTGGGCTGCTCTGCCAGTTGGAATAGCCATTTCTCAGGGTGGTGAGACATTGTCTGTAAGATATGATTTTGACAGTACGACTGTCGGTCTGCTGCTTTGACTAGACTCTAAGCCAACTCTCCTAATTTTTGCACTAGGCCCCAGATTTTAGTAAGGAGGACTTTGCAGAGTTGACAGGGCTGTTTTTGCTGTAGTTGTTTCTGATGCTGAGTTCAATGCCAGGTGGTCAATCCAATATTCCTTTTTTTTTCCTTTTTGAGACTTTCTAGTGATGTTACAACTAAGTGGCATGCTAGACTATTAAGGGTGGTGGACAGTCTACATTCAATTACATTCACAGAATGAGAAAACTTAGTAATCTATCATTTGATATTTTTGGTGTTGTTTCTATTGTTTACTAGCTAATTGTAACGCATCTTTGACTGTGCTTTGAGATTTCTGGCAAGGCAAAAGTACTATAGTCTTATTTTAGTATGTAGATAAACACTGTGTCTGAAAGGGGCATCACTAACCATAATTTCCATTCTCTGAACAAACTCTGGACTTCGTACAGGAATACAAAATGTGGGGGGTGGGGTGGTGGGGTGTGGTGCAGCTTGGCATAGAGTTCTAACTGCTTCAACTGAGAAAAGAAATATATTTTTCAGAATTTCAGTTGTGTAGTGAAAGCAAGCTGCTTTCAGGATTCATGCAGTGAATATTACCACTTTTTTCTGATGCTGAATTCATCATATGAAGAGTGAAACAGATTCAACTCTGATGTAGCAACTCAGACGTGCCTAACAATCCGTCTGAATAGGACTGAGAAGGTAGAGTGACAATGCTAAAGGAATATGTGACAACAATTGAAAGAATTTTTAGTAAAGGTGAGATCAAGCAATAGGGATACTGGAATTAAAAATAAACCCCATAGGGTGCAAGGCATTGGAAGATATCTACAGATCTCCTGGCAGCAGTAATGTTGTAAAAAATGTTTTTAAATATGGAGCTCGGAGAAGATTGTAGAAATGGATAAAACAGTTGTCAAATCTTTTAATTTGTACTGACAAGACAAGAAAATGAAAACCTGTTAAGGTCATGAAGCCCATAAATTTCTAGAATGTGTCAAGAATATTTTCTTGAACCAGGGTATTCTAGATTTACTAATACGACGAGAGAATCTTGTATACAGTGGTCATAACGTGATAGGATTTTTAAGTTTGAGAACACATATCAATGTTGTAAGCTTAAGTAAGGCTGACTTCAAAGAGACGAAGAGTAGGCTGGGCATATTGAACTAAACAAGTAACTGCAGAAATGTATTAGGTATTCAAAACTATGTAATGGAGAACAATTAAAATCCTAAGCTCAAAGTGTGAAATGTCTATTTGTACAATTGATTAACCATAATCTACATTTCAGAAAAAGATTAGAAAATTAAAGGCAATAATTTCTCAAATGCCAAAAAAGTGATAATCTAGTTAACCTGGGAAAATATTAAAAGCTAATAAGTACATGATGGCAAAGATATGGGTTCATTAGAATACTATGCCTTCAATTAATCAATAATGTAATTATTATGATTCCCAATATATTAGCATTGGGGAAATATAGTTCTAAAGTGGTGTGTAAAATCAATTTTAATTTTTAGCTCTTGGAAGATTTGACTTGTTTTTCTTGTTCAGTACATCATTTACAAGTCATGCAATAAAACTAAATTAGCAAATCACTAGGTAAGGTAATTGCTAAGGTTTTAGCTATGTTGCGTTTCACAGCCGAGAGAAATGTGGGCCAGAAGCAGGTTAGATGAGAGGGAAAAGGTCTGTGATAGCGAAGGTCATGTTTTGTAGCAATCTCCAAACACGCAGGGCTGGGGAAAATGTCCTGAGAAGCTTAGAAGTCAGTGGGAACAAAGCTCCAGAAATTGAAGGCTGTAAAGGTGTCAGGGAAAGACATTTTACAAGGCTGTTGAAGAAATGAGCTTAAGGAAGCCCTATTAAATAGTAAGTGAGGTGAGTTAGCAGCTCATTTTTAAAGCTTTGAGTGAGATGCTAACCAAGAAAAATAACATTGAGTGAATTTGCTGAAAGGGAGCTAATTAGTCATGTCAACCGAGCAAGAAGCTTTAGCATGGATTTTAAACTGAGGTTTGAAGGTTTATAGGAATATTACTGGAGAGAAAGGATGAATTTTTCTTTTTGGAATTAGTAATGACATTGTTTCAATAGTTTTTGTTTGAGGTAAGGTAGTTAGTTTTTCTTTGTAGCAAACTTTAATGTACTTTTTAAAAAAAAAAATTAACGGCCTCTTGTGACTATTCAGTAACTGACATCAGTAGTAATCAAAACAAGCCTATGACCAAACTAGCCAGGCTTCACTCCAGGATCTGACTTGTTCAGCTTTACCATCAGCTGGGATAACTAGCCTCATTTATCACGCAAGTACTTTGTATCTGTTTTTAAGGGGGAATATGATAAAATACCAGCTATAGAGGAGGAACTGAACCTTAATTGGGGAATTTTTGAATTCAATGAGTGATAAGTAATGAAGAAAAAAACAGGAATTAAATAGTTGGCCCTCAACACCTCATGGTTTTCACCATAAGGTATTAAAATAGGTAGTTGAGAGAATTTCAAAATGTATTTCAGTTTGGGTACTGCATCTCAAAGGATATGTTTGGAGGGAATGTGCTGCAGAATTACTAGAATTATGCCGGAGCTTTGGTTAAACTTGAGAACAATTTGAATAAACTTGGCTTGTATTCTTTTAGCTTAGCAAAGGAAGTGGTAATCTAGCTACGTACCTAATGTTAAATGAAAATGATTGGATAGCTACAGAAACAAAGTGACAATAACAATATTAGGGCACTTTGTTAGTGAAATTGGGAAGCACATTTTCTTTTACAGAAGTAGAAATTTGGAACTTTGCCCATGGCATGGATGATAAAATAATTGTAACTTTCAAAGCAGAGGTTTTTATTTTGTAAAAGGTATCATAAGATATGAGGCAACAGTAAGATAATTAAATTGAGGTACCAATCATCTGTAATTTAAATGAATGCTTGTCGAGATACAAACAAGGGGTTGAATGCTCTATTTATTTTCCAACATCTGCTCGTAGTGATGTTCATCAGTGGGTATATGCTGTGTAAACTGTCAATGCAGGCATTACAAACATTTCCATTAACATTCCAAATATTTTACTGAAATGTGTTCACATTTATTAAGCAAATTTACCTTTTTATATGGCACCTTTGGAATGCAGACTCCCTTCACAGTTCACTTTGTAATTTGGTGAAATATTGAGACTCATGAGACTTTTCTAATTCTGATTTTGGTTTGCAGGAAGGAGTTTTTCCAGGTTTAATTCCAATTATAAACAGTTACCTTGAAAACATGGAAGTAGATGTGGATACACGGTGCAGCATTTTAAACTACCTCAAACTCATCAGAAAGCGAGCTTCAGGTGAAGTTATAACTTAATTGTTAATGTAACATTTGTTTACCATAACTGGAATTGAGATCATCACAAAAAGGTCTAACTACGTTTATCTGGGCATTTATGCATGTTTAGTTAAAGCACTCGTCATTTCTTTGGACCATTCTGTTGTAAAGTTTAAAAATTGAAGTATCTGCACTCTTCTATTGATTTCTTCAGCAGCCTCAATTTTAATTCTGTTTGTTTGTTATGACAGAGGTTGGGGGGAAATAAACACTAAGGTGCATTAAAACACCACTTTAAGGTATTTCTGTATCATGAACATCAACACCTGGAAAGATATAGCAAATGATGGCCATGATGGAATCATAATTCATGATTCAATCTGAATTATTTTGAGACTCCCGAGCACCTGGCATGTATACCAACTCATCCATCCACGTGGTCTCTTGTTTTTTCAGTTTTTGCATTGTTTGTGCCATTCTCCCATACACCAATGTCTTGTACATGAATTTAGGTTGGTGGCATATTTGTGGAGTTGGGGATATGTGGTTGTCTCCAAACTGTAGAGGTATGGGAAGGCAGGGAGAAAGATGAAATCTGAAGAGATAACTGTTATTTTTTAAAGTACCAATTATGAGAATACAAAGCTTAATTTCATGTTATAATTTTTAAAAATTTATTTTATGGTATGTGGGGTGGCTCTGGCAAAGCCAGCATTTGTTGTCCATCCCCAATCACCCTTGGACTGAGTAATGTGCTGGGTCATCGATAGGGAACGTGCAAGTCAGCCACATTGCTAGGGGTCTGGAGACTCCTCTAGACCAGACTAGGTAAAGTTGGCAAATTTTCTTCCCTAAAGGATATTTGTAAACCAGTTAGGTTTTACAACAAGCAATAATTTTTTATGGTTGCCATTACTGACACTAGCTTTTTTTATTAGAATTATTGATGGAATTAAATTTCACAAGCTGTCATGGTAGAATTGGTAACCACATCTGCAGATTAGCTAGATTGTGTCCAGTTAAACTGAGGTACAACTATGCCACTATCTTCGTATATCTGTCAATTTTTCATTTGACCACAATGTTCAAAGAAAGAAAAAATGAATCCATATTTCCACTGAAATTGTGTTTTTTCTT